TCTAATTTTTCCACGTAAGTATACTTCTTGAAATTTATTATTGTTTTAGTTTGGCTTATAACCTTAAAAATTAGATACTGAAAGTGTCTGTCAAATTTTGCAATTCTGCTAAGTGTAGTAAAAAATACCTCCAAGAGTATAAGACAAATGTCACCTTCATGAGAGCAAAGGAACATTTGACTTTCAAATAAAAAATGTATGTGCATCTATGTTGTAGAGAAAATATAAAAGTTAGTTCAATGTTAGAAAATACTGTAGAGTAGAAAAAGAAAAATAAGAAGGTCGGGTCTGTAATGAGACAGTATCATCATATGCTCCATTACGGAAGATTTAATGTGGAATTTTGTCAAAAAATAGACTACCAAAGTAAATTATAACTCATATGAAAGCACTGGGAGGATAGTGAGAAACTGACATTTCAACGAAGAGAATAAAGGATATATTTTTCCTCAACTGACTTTTGGTGTGCACACACACACACACACATATATACACACACATACACATTCATACATATGTTTAGACATCCCTATGTACATATATAATTTTTCCTTGGCATTGCTTCCCTGCGGCTTAGTCAGTTATGACTAGGAAAAAACAGAAAGAACATTCATACAGTTTTAGAATTTTCATTTACAGTACTTACAGTAAACAGAAAAACTGCTATTATTTTGAGATTGTTTTTCTTAAGTAATCTTGTTTTTGGACCTACATCAGACTTCATACTCAAACCCTCAAATTGTATTAGAGCAAGAAGTCAATGGAAACACAAAGCCACAGAAAGGAATTATAGAATTATGTTGGTAAATATTTCCTTTAGGAATGTACATATACTACGTAAGATATTTTGCAGGCACATGATTTTGCCCTGAAACATTCATTTGTTATATTAATTTGGAGAGAAGCTTTGTAGTGGAATTTGCCCTTGAAAATATTGAAATTTCCTTATGAAAAATAACCATGAAAAGCAAGACAGAAATAATATTAGAATCAATAGGAAATAGCTTATTCAACTTCATAAAAATTAACTGCTAGGTTGTTCAGGGAATCTCTAAAGAAGAGCACATCTATAAAGGATATATGAAATTATAGGTAAAATACCTAATAGCAATAACAACAAAGCACAATAATTATTTGGGTATATAAATTAACATAATTTTTATTGGTATATATATATTATATGGTATATATTATATATACGTATATAAATTGTCTATATTTTCAAGTGTTCAGAGAACTTATGCCATACATTTTCTCATTTATTTTATAAAATCTCCTTCCTGTAGGAATGGAGATGACTATGCCCTTTAGTTCCTTCTTATACATAAAGCATTTCTTTATTACAATAATTGCCACATTCTTATGTAGTTTGTTGGTGTTAGTTGTTTTCTTCAGTACTAAATAGTACACTTATCTAAGGCTTTTTTTCATTATACCAAATTAGTTATAATATGATAAATGAACTGGTTAAATTTAATTTTAAAAGTACCAGTTACATTGATTGAGTTTAGCCAATTGCCATGTGTGTAATATTAAGATGGTTTAATTTTTCAGAAATGTTTACATTGCAGTGATGACACTGTGGCTTATTGTCTCACAGAAGAATTCTGCCTTACACCTTTTTTCATTGAATACATCAGTTTATTCTCATAATTGTCTAACTTGCTTAATGGAGCCTGTTTCTTTCTTTACAATAAGACTTATTTTAGCAATGTCAAAATCATGTGTTATAATAAATGTGGTTCCTAAGTATATACATTTATAGTTATAATTTATCTTGCTTGTGCTAATGGAGGTAAGTTTCTGGGGCTCTACATTAATTTGAAGGTAGACCTGGTAAGTTTAAAATGTATATTATAAATCCTAAAGCAATCACTCAAATAACAAAAAAATGTTACAGCAAATAAGTCAACAAAAGAAACAAAATGGAATCATTAAACCTTCAATTAACCCAAAAGAAAGCAGAAAAATAGGAAAAAAAAAAGGAAGAAAAGATGTGACTAACAAGAAATAAATAGCGAGATGATACATCTGAACTACATTACATCAGTACTCATATCAAATGCAAATGGTCTAAATACACCAGTTAAAAAACAAGGATACTCAGACTGGAAAAAAGGAGACCCAACTATATGTGCAAAGAAGAAATGAATTTCAAATATAAACTAAGAATAGGTTAAAAGTAAAAGGATGGGAAAAACACACACCAACATACGTTAATCAAAATAAATTAGTACCTCAATTAACACTGGCAAAGTAGATTTCAGACCAAAAAATATTAACAAGGATTAAGAAGATTGTTTTCTAATGATAAGGGGCTTATTTGATCAAGAGGACACCACAATTCTAATTGTTCATGCATCTTTTAACAGAGCTTCAAAACACATCCAAGCAAACACTCGCATAACTGCAAGGAGAACTAGAAATAGGGAAATCCAAAATTATAGTTGGAGATTTCCACATTTCTGTCTTTATAATTGAAAATGCAAGTAGATAGAAAATCAGGACACAGAAAACTCAAACATTATCAAGTAACTTGGCCAACTTGATGCAAAAAATTTTACATACATTTTAAACTGAGATAATGAAATAAAATGCATTAATGTACAAATGTCTGATCAATTAATTAAGGAAAAATTTAAAAACTATTCACATATAATCATTAAACCACAGGCCTAATATAAATGGAGACAAAGAAGTATTTTACCAGTAAAATGGCACAGCCATTTTATATTTCTTCCTCAAGTCAACCTTTCACTATTATAGATTTATTTTTTAGTAAATATTACATAAGGATAATGGGTGAAAATACTTACCTATCTTAAAATTAATTTCAAGAGCTGTATAATTTATGAAGTTTAAAAAAACATCTTATTGAACATATTTCCTTTCTCTATGCACCAGAATGCCTACTGTAAATAAAGGTAAAGGCAGGAACTTAGTTATTGCAATAAACTATGGCAGATATTGCCTATGGTTCAACAATAAATTTGAAGACAGTTTTATAAATTCTAATATTCATTCATTCTAAGATGTCATTGGTTAAAAAACATGCCACTATATTATATTTTTCTAGAAAATAATAAGTGCTCTCAATTCAATTGTGACATTATAAGATAAGCCAGTTTCTGAGATGTTAAAATATAAAATGTGTGCATGTTTTCAGGTGTTAAATGAATGTATCCTCTATGCCAAATAGGTTTGTTCTGTCATGTTAACAAATAAATAGGTATGGCTTTTATAATCTAAACCTAAAAACATATTTCCCCTAAAATGAATTTTATGTGAACTGAATTCAGACTCTGTTGACTCACTGAAATAGCCATTACAGGTTTAGCATTTTGGGGAAAACTTATAAATTCTCTGCCTTGAATATTTTAAGAAAAGATATTTCCAACTGTCTCCTGGCTAATAATACAATAGCAGTAAGGGAAGGACAAATAGGAAAAAACTATTAATTCAGAAATACTTAATGTGTATGCAAATGTATTATAGTCCCCTCAAATACTTGAACTAAGGAATTTTCTTTCTCTTGATGTCTTCAGAAAGCTAGAATTATCTGCACAAAGACACTAAGCAATGAATAAATTTAAACTTCATTAGTCCAACTGAGGCAATATTTTAACATCTGATGCAATTCATTACTGATGTCCCCAAGCACTTCCATTCTTCAGGGTCCCAAAGAAATTCATTGGTAGATGGTATGAAAAAACATTTAATATGGTAAGAACTTTTAGAAAAACAATTAGAAATTGTATGGAGAACTGCACGGTGTGTTCATATATACCTATTACTGTGATATTATAACAGAATACACAGGTAAAAAAAAATAAATTAACCTGTAAATTATTAACAGTCAAGAAAACTGAGCGAGAAAAATCCCCCATTTTAATTTTGACAAACCAGTGCAATAGTCAAAATTTGTCCACTTCTAAAATTCCTAGTTGTTAAAATAACCAAGGAAATGCAAAATGTTTAAAAATCTTTTCATTAACCTTTAAAATATTTTTCTCCAAAGAACATTTTTTCTTAATTCTAATTCATTTTAATAATAGTAGAATGTGTTCAAACAATAACTATGTGTGTGTGTTTTAAGATTAATTATTTGAGCTTCTGTTAGATTTATATAAAATATAAATTCAATCTTACTCAGATTTTAGATTATTGATAATATGAAAATGTAAATAGGTTTTACTGTTAGGTAGAAAGACAGACACAGCCCAGGAAGAAGATAAGGTTCAAGGAAAAAAAACGCTCAAACTCTGCCCAGGTAGGAGGTCCCACATGAAGACAACAAAGGCTTTGCGGGGAGGTAATTTCCTTTCTATGGAGACCAGGACAAACTGGTCCCAACCAGCCACTGTATAACAAAACAAAGAACCACCCAAACCATACCTCGTCATAATCTTATTAAAATAAAATTTCAGGTTTGCCCTAGACCCCATAGTCTCTTCTGTATGCAGTTTGGGAAAAGATGGTACAAGAGGAGTGAGTGTATAACTTAAACTGTCAATCAAATGACCTCACCCTGCCAATCAAAGAGGTGCCTCCAATAGACCCAAGGACATAATAGACCTTCCCTTAAAAGCTCAGTGCCTTTGTCTACCTTGACGCTGGCCCACACCTCCCTTGGACAGTCCTCAAATAAAACTTCGACTCTGCTTCACTATTGTGTTTCTGACTTTCAGTTCTCTGTTACAGTGGGACAAGAACTGAGAAAAAAATTCAGCCCAGTAACAGCACTACTACGTTATTTGACTATAATGAATATTTACTATATATATATTTAATGTAATACATATTATACTATAATGCATAATCACATTATTTGACTATTTGACTCCTTTATGGTGCTATTCTTTAAAACTTTTCAACATACATTTTTTTGGTGTATACAGCTATTATTTTCAGCACAGATGTATAAGCAGTTTATTCAGTCAAACTTGGATACACTTTTATTTTCTATTTCCACATGTTATAAAACCACCTGGATGACTTACCTTATCTTTTCTTTGCTTTTCATCCTGGTATACAGTCCAATGTTCTCCATCATTGCTGTAAGCTAGTTTGTAGGAGCCTACAAACTGTACATGGCCAAAATCTTTAGCTCCTTGTGTAATGATGCCAGTCACTTTAGTAGGGACCAGAAGATCTACCTAAAAAAAAGAAGAGACATAATTTAAATGCCATAGTAGAGTCCATTATAAATTTGCAAGTCTCTTGAGCTTTGATGATTAAGAAACATACATGCTAAAGCCCCAAATCCACTTCTTATCTGTACTTTGAAACTGATGACTGAGTCTGTTATTGGTTTGTACTTCTGATTTTCCCACTGGGTAAACTTAGTTTAAAACCGGAACCACCATTTTATTTTGACCATTTAAAAATAAAATGATAGTCATTTCAGATTACCAATCAATTTTATATTAAACTGATTCATCTAGCTGTATAGTCTTGTATAACAGATAATACAGAACTGGCAAGGCTGACCTTGAGACTGATCATTATTTCCCAGAGCTTGTGCTTATAATTCAATTTGCTGACTTTACTGGCCAATTCAATAATAATAAAAATAAAATTGTAGCTGGGCACATATCAGGAACAAAAATGATATTGAATGTTTCACAATGAAACATTAAATAAAAAGTCAATTCTGTTTCTATGAATTTTAATCAGTTCAGTAATATATAATTGAGTAATAGTAATCATTTTCCAATAAAAATCCTCCTTCAGAAAATTACAATCCTAAAAATATTGAGGAGGAAGTCAAATATTCTTCAAAAACTGAGGATTAAAATATGCATCCATGATTTGTGTAATCTCTCCTCATGTGTTTTCATTCCCGCAAAATATATACTTAAAGGCCATGAGACCATAATGATTTAGTAAGCATTAAATGCATCAGAATGTAATTGAAATGCAAAAGATAGGGATGATTTTCATCAAAAGAGAGTATGCAACATTGAATAGTTTAGTATTCTACTTCTTTGTTCTCCAATTCATGCATCTTCTCTTATATTATGATGTCAATGAAAAAAAAATTAGGAAACTTTGTTTTCCATGTGGACAATCCTTATAACAACTTTACCTTGCATTATTAATGTTCCTTGATCTACAGCTTCCTCTGCTCAATAGCCACCTACTTCCTTCTACTTCTTATGACTAAGTGCTCTGTTACATCCTTGATCTTATCATCTTTAACTGTCATGATCCCACGTGGCTTTCAACCACTATGCCCTTTTGTTTCTATTTCAGGTTCTCCATCCTGTGAGATGTACATAGCCACAAATAGATAGTCATGGGTCAGATACAGGCCATGAATGAGGAGAGCAAGCTAGGGAGAATGCATTGAAAAAAACCTATTTTGTGACATATATGTTCATCAATAAAGGTATGAAAAAAGTTCCCAATGTTTCACAGTGTAAGAATATCTCTTAAACATTTCATATGGGCTTTTGCCCATGTTTTGGAACATTCTCTAATTAAATACATTAGGCTTAAATTAGACAATGGATTGAGACAGAAAACTACCTTTAATGCTTCAGTATAACATTTCAAAGAGTTTATCAAAAATTATTTTTAAAAAACTTTGTTTTTACTATTTCCCAAACATGTATTATATTATCTAAAACATCGTATGTCTAGTAGCAACGCAGGATAGAAACTTGATACCTGGGAAAGAAACTTTGTTGCCTCATGCTATGCTAAGGGCTACACCCTCATTGAGTCCTCTCAACAGCTCTGTATGGTTGGGTATTATCACTTTATAGAGATTAAGGGACACATACCTAATATAACATGTATGATCAAATATAAACATTAGCAAAGGGAGGATCCCAGATTCCAATCCATGTCTCCCTGACTCAAGGTTTCACCATACATATGGATCCTCACTTAGAAATGATTTCTTCCCATTATCTGTGACTATTTCAGAAATTCTGGAAGACTCTCAAAGCTTTCTCATCACATTTATCAAACTTAACAGCAACACTAAGCCCCAAACCAAAACAATCCTGGCTTTACATTATGAGGAGGGCACTGTCTTTTAACATGAATTTCCTTTCTATTCTTCAGCTCTCTGGGTTTAAAAATATGGATTGCTTTTATTATTCTAATCCAAATCTAATTGTGCAGAGACATCTAGGCATAGCTGTTGGTCTTCAAAGTGCTCTTAATTTTGCTGACACTCAGTAAATGAAAATTAGACAATGGATTGAGACAGAAAACTACCTTTAATGCTTCAGTATAACATTTCAAAGAGTTTATCAAAAATTATTTTTAAAAAACTTTGTTTTTACTATTTCCCAAACATGTATTATATTATCTAAAACATCGTATGTCTAGTAGCAACGCAGGATAGAAACTTGATACCTGGGAAAGAAACTTTGTTGCCTCATGCTATGCTAAGGGCTACACCCTCATTGAGTCCTCTCAACAGCTCTGTATGGTTGGGTATTATCACTTTATAGAGATTAAGGGACACATACCTAATATAACATGTATGATCAAATATAAACATTAGCAAAGGGAGGATCCCAGATTCCAATCCATGTCTCCCTGACTCAAGGTTTCACCATACATATGGATCCTCACTTAGAAATGATTTCTTCCCATTATCTGTGACTATTTCAGAAATTCTGGAAGACTCTCAAAGCTTTCTCATCACATTTATCAAACTTAACAGCAACACTAAGCCCCAAACCAAAACAATCCTGGCTTTACATTATGAGGAGGGCACTGTCTTTTAACATGAATTTCCTTTCTATTCTTCAGCTCTCTGGGTTTAAAAATATGGATTGCTTTTATTATTCTAATCCAAATCTAATTGTGCAGAGACATCTAGGCATAGCTGTTGGTCTTCAAAGTGCTCTTAATTTTGCTGACACTCAGTAAATGAAAAAAACATCTCAGAGTATTCTGAGTCACTGTGGTGCCATCAAAGCTATAAACACACGGGAAATGCAAACTGCCACCAAGAATGAATACTTTCAGGTATGGATTCTTCAGTCCCTAAACTTCTGTAAGTCCTTAGGTAAGATGACGCAATGAGGAATCTTATAGAATCTCTCTTTCTGTGGCATTTCTTGAAATTATCTGGGTTTCCTGCTGGGTGGAGATGTTTTCTCCTTGAGTTGTGTATCTTGGCTCTTTCTAACAGATATGTTTTTCTCCTACTCTAACTGCTCCCCTTCTCTAGTTTTTTTTTGATCTAGAAATGTTTTTCTTTTTTGTTCCAGTTAAGTCAACTTCTCGACTTAAATAGTCAGCAATCTGTTTCAAGCTGGATTTTGTCCTAAAATTTGCTACATTAAACTTAGAATACCAGGCCTAAGCAAACCTTCTTTCAGTATAAAAGTAATCAGTATCTTACACTTCACATAAAGTTGCTGCAACAGGGCATGCACAGATCTCACTCTGAGACACATTCACAGATATGTCACCATCATATCTAGCATGCAGGATGATCCCAGAAGAGCCCATTTCTCTGTATCTATGCTCACCCCTGGCCCAGGACCACTCTGCCCTTTTGTAGATAGGAGTTAACGCTCTACTGTAAACATGCTGGACAAAATTCCTCTGCTTTTAGACTCTTGCCTCCCAAAGTTTGCACAAACATAGTAAGTTATTTAATGCCCTGAGTTGGTGCATGATAAGACATTTGGCGTAGTGTACTGCACTTCGTGTCTGGATCTGTACTAAATGTGCCTTCGTGTAACAGTTCCCCAATAAAGGTTTTACTGGATTGAGCTGGAACTACTTCTTGAGTGTGCTCTATAGATAAGAACCAACCATGGCTAAGGATGCTGAAATGTACCACAGCAGAAAATGCTAGCTGCCATCCTCTTGGTTCTCTATGACGGATAACATAATGGTGTCACTGTGGTACCAAAGGGTACCTTACTTTCTTGCTAGGGAAGGCAACTAGTCAAAAATCCTCTCTGATCGTCAGGAACGTGATAATGAGAACAGTCTATTCTAATGGGGCTGGGTGGTCTGGGTTCCCAAAATGATACTGCACTTACTAGCTATGAGCCCTTGTGCAAGAGAGTTTATTTCTCTACATCTCAATTTCTTCACCTGAAAAAGGAGACTAATAGTCCTCAAACGATTTTTTGAGAATTAGATGAGTTAATATTTATCGAGTGCATAAAACAATATATACAATATATTAAGGGTCATATTAGACTTTGATAACAATAAAATAATAAAATCTGGAGAGAGAAGTCTCAGAGCATCTGATTATAAATAAATATATAGAAACAAGGAAATGGGTGGCCACATTGTCCAAGAAAGAAGTTCTGGATCATAGCATATTTTGCTCACTTACTCAGAATGTATACAAAGATAGTCATTTCATTTTTACTTAAAATAGAGTCAGTCTGAGGCAATTGAAATTCCCATGTAGGCATGAAATGGTTAACTAAAAATAATAAAATTAATTTTATGGAATATTATGCATTCTCATTTGAAATTATGATTATATTACAGTAAAGAAATTGTTCTAAAATACTATTTCAAGGGAAAATCAGATTCCAAACTTTGGTGAGTGGCTGATTTCCCTATAATTATAAGAGAGAAAAATGAGGGTTACATATTGAGAGAGGCTTAAAATAATACATAAAGAAAAAATATTGTATGAAGGTTATATAGGAGTATTACTTTTTTTGTTATAGAACATCCTAAAATATTGTAGTGATACACAAACCTTTTTAGCATGTCTAACTTAGAAAATAGATAAACTCAGAGCATTTGTTTGAGAAAGGTCAAGATAAATGACATTTCAGGTGTCTGTGATATCCTGACAGATGGTTCCTTAGAAGGAGTCAGGGCAGACTAGGAAAGTTAGCAGATTTCCATGGAGATGTGCTTTAAGGTGTTCAAGATAAGTGAACAAAAAGAGCAAAGAGATTTATCACAGAAATATGCCACTCAGATGCGTCTACAATGCTCCAGCAGCTCTGGCCTTCATGCTCCATCAGTTATTTGGGGTTTCATATTTTATAACTTCATGGAGCCTTGTAAAATTAATTCATTAAACAGAAATAACTTTGAGGCTAACATACTTTTTAATTTTTAAAAATCAAATTATAGGCAAAATATCTAGACAACATTTTCATTTCAATAAAGAATTTTTACCTTAATATTACATGAAATA